ATGAGCAAGATGTGTTGCTACTAAAAACACCGAAAAAAAGTAGAAGGGTCTGTGCCTAGGGACACGAACGGAAGCTTAACGTAGGACCGCTAGGGAACGGAATAAATGTGAAGAGCATTTAGTTCTTTTAATTATCTCATCTCTTTCCGTTTTTGAATTGTAGGCGTACCAAATTTGAAGTATTTTTTTCAAAGAGAAAGTTGATTAAGAGAATCAATCAAAATCACTTGCACCCCTGCTTCCAAGTTTGGTTAAAAGATTACAACTCTGGAGAGCATTTTGTGTGGTCGTTGGGGGCTTGTGGTACGGAATATGGACAAACAAGCACAGATATATTCTATTCCAACTCTTTACTGATGTAAGCTTGATGGCCCTGAAAAGGGCCGTTTTATTGAAGAGGACATCCATGGCCACTTACGCTTGGCGTGTATAGTGTAGGTGACAGCATCACGGACCTCATTTTCAAGCAACACCTTCAGCACACCTCGTAGATCAGACCGGAGATACGTTTGACACCACCACGGCGAGCCAGACGACCGATGGCGGTTATCTCGAAGAACTTTGCGATGACGCTTGGCATCTCCTTTACCAGAGCATTTCCTTCTTTGCCACGACCAGTCCATTGTTGCTTGTTAGGTGTGAAGGAGTGGACTAGCCACCACCTTCCTACTGCTGCTATTGCTGTTCACCACGCCGTCCGAAGCGAAAATGAGCTAATGCCATACAGCAGCGCTCTTTTATATCTTTTCAGGTTAAAGCAGAATGATGTGCAACCAAGTGGTATAAAAACTACAAAGACTCCTCCCATTATGAGTAGTTTGCTATCAAGTAGCGACATTGGCTCTTTTCCTTTTGCGTACACAGCGAATGAGAACGGCCCAAAGTTGAGTTTAGTTCACTCATAATCGCCAAAAGTGCAGGATCTCAGCGATGAGTAAATTTGTCTCATGGTTTCCTGTGGAAAACCTAAAAAATTTGCCAGAAAATGAGGAAATTGACGAAAATTTTATTCAGTCTCGGAGTAGTACCAATAGACAGAGTGAATCCAATCTTTACTTTTCTCAAATTCTGGAATTTTTCCCTGGAAAATCCTAGAAAAACCTGGGAAAACATGAGGCGAATTTACTCATCGCTGAGTTCCTGCACATTATTTCTTATTTCTGAGATAACTAAACTCAAATTTGGGTCGTTCTCATTCGCCGTGATATCACCTTGAAAGCGTGATTACCTCTCTGCTCAGCAGGCCTGGGTCCAATCTCAGTCGGCGCCACCGGCATGTTCTAAGACATAACATCTCTGATCACGCCTTCCTTCGGATGGGATGTAAAGCCGTTGGTCCCCGGTTGAGTTGATGGGTCGATTGGTAGGGTCCAGGTGCGGGAGCTGCCTCCCTGGCGTCGGTAGCATTGGAGCTCAGAATGGAAAGCAAATCTCGCGTCACTTTTCAATAGGTTCTGGTTATGGCTGGTTCTGAATATGACGATGAGTGTGCAAAATATTACACAATTCCATCCTCCCTATTCGCACGCGCCCGAGGATTGGAGGCGAATGCCACTTCGACTTGTTTCGTCTACTTACTACTCTCTGACGACTGTGCTGGGGAAGCAGCATATGCATGTAGGTGATTGGTGGATTTGTTAGTTAATTCGACGCTTTTGGACAATGCTGGACATTTACCAGTTTTTCAATAGTTTCTTGTTGAAAATCAACATTCGGAAGCATTGTTATCGATTTGTAGCCATATTTCTGATCGATTGGTGATAAAATTATTGAAATTGGACCAGGGACAGCTGAGTTATTAACGTTCAAAATCTTTCTTAATTTGTTACATGTTCCATTTTTGGTTTTCACAAAGTGTACCCCCATATAGAAATCAAAGACGTAGTCCTACGTCAAAATTTGGTTCATACATTTCGCTTTCCGGACTTTTGGCCAGCTTTCTAGAACAAATACTACTCTGTGCGCCCATTCGATGTCATCTACACAAAACGAAAATCAATTGTTTTATTCATGTGTTTCACTTATACATTGTTGCCAAAACATCAGCCTTATACATTCCATAAGACAACCCACATAGGTCCTTTAAGAATGCATAAAAGTTATGTGTGACCGCTTATACATTTAATTTCACACATGATCTTCATTAACTTTTTACAAGGTGTCTGTTTATTAGTTGACTTATACATTTTATGAATATTCAGCAATAGAAATTTGCCAAAAGGTATAAGGAGATTTCTATCTATGTACGGTGTCGAGCAGTGGATTTTCATCGATGTTGCTGTCCACCATTCGTCCGTACTGCACCCAGTCGACATGGTGATAGTCTTTACGCAAGCAGCTTCTAGCAGGAACCACGTTGACACCGACTTCAGTCACCTCCGGTTGGTGGTCAGAGCTGAGATCGTTGTTCGCTTCCGGCTTGGATAGTCCGATGATTGACAGGAAAAAGTCCAGGGTGGAGGGTTGGTTCGTCCGGAAATTGCACAGTGTACAGCCCATGTTGTGCGTGGTCGAACAATAGACATCCGTTCCGGTTCCTCTGGTAGTTCCGCCAAGCTTCATGGCGGGTGTTCAGGTCGCCCCCAACGATGAATCGGGAGCTAGTACGGGTGATGGCGGTCAGGTCCTTCTTGAATTGGATTCCTAGTCCATTGCTTGCGGTACACTGGCGTGGGCAGTAAACAGCGATAAACCGAACGTTTCCAGTTGGTGATTCTACCTCCAAACTAATGGCCTCGATGATAGAAGTGCGGATTTGGGGCAGAGTGCAAAACTTGATTCCCTTTCTGACGATGACCGCTACACCACCCCCTTGGAGCTAGTGCGATCAAGCCGGATAATTTTGTGGTCAGGCAACCAGAAGCTGTCGCCGAACTTTAGATGGGTCTCGGTTAGTAGGCCCCCGTCGATGCTGTGCTTGCGGAGGAAGTCGGCAAGCTCAATCTGTTTTGCTGTTGCAGAGCAAGCGTTCCAGTTAGCGATAGTTAGCGGTTTAGACACCATACTGGATGATGAACTTACCGAGCACTTGGATCTGTTCGGGCTTATTGTGACACTTACGTAGAGCACCGGTCATGTTGATGAAAATCTCCATCAATTCATCGGCTGAGAACAGATCGGGATTATTTGGTTGAGCTGTTGGTTGTCTTTAGAACCCAGGGGGGATGGAGAGCTTAGTCCGGCAGAAGATCCAAACGTTTCTTGAAGGGGGCGGATCGCACCCTTGGATTCGCTTGTCCATGAAGAGGCGGAAAGTCCTCTGCCCTGAAAGCCAGAGCCTTATCCTTCCTTCGTCCTGATTGATTGTTGGTGAACGCCTGTTTTCGGATACGTTTGAAATCCTCGCGTTAAGGGCACTGCTTGTCAGATCCTTGGTGAGCACCACCACAGTTGGCGCATTTGGACGTCACAGTTTCATCCGCTGCACATTCGGAGGTGGCATGGTATTGAGCGCAATTTCCGCATCGTGCCCTAATGTTGCAGTTGCAGGAACCGTGTCCGAAGTTCATACACCGCTGGCACTGAGTCACATCGCGATGGCCGCCACGATATGGCTCCCAGCGGACGATGATGGAAATGATGGACCGGATGGCTTTCAGTGCGTTGAGCGTCACGAAAAGGCTATCCGGATACGCCTTCACATTCTCGTCTCTTCTTGTCATTCGATACACAGCACTTGGGGCCAGCTTGTACCGGTCCCTGATTTCTGATTCGATAAACTTCGGGTTGAAGTTTGGTAGGCCCCTGATGACGACCTTGAACGGCTTCTTACCGGGAATGTCGTGGGTAAAGAATTCCACCTTGGAAGTCCTCAGGTGGGCGACGACCACGTCATACTCCGTTTCGGTACGGAGCACCACCTTAGTGCCGAATCTGCCCACCTTGTATTCGGCTTTAACGCCCAGCGTCGCTAGCTCCGCGATGAGTACATTAAGATGGGCATTTTTCACTACCAATGGAGATAGCTTCTCTTTTGCCGTGCTCATTTCGGTAGTATTCTCGGTTTCGGAAGCGTCACCGAAATCTCCAACATCACTGTTGTTCGTCGCAGTGACATCGGACTGGCCTCAATTCTTCTTCCTCTTCTTGCTGCGTTTTTCCAACACAGCTGGCTGGATATTCCCATCCATGGGGAGAACAGCAAACCACACCGGAGCTTCCTTCACCGGGGTCCTGGACTTTCACCGGGCTTCGCGACCGATGCTTCCCCATTTCGGGATACACACACGCACGACAAACCTCGAAAGAGAGAGCGAGCTAACACCGAACTGAACTGCTTGACGACCAAGCAGAGAATCCATTCAGATTAATATTCGAAGTCCCTCCTTTTTTACACATTCTACACACAAAATAGCTCACCCCTCACAGAATTTCCCGCCAATTTTTGTGTATAAGGCGGGGCAGAAAGATCTTTTGTGCAGAATATGTAAAAAAGGAGGGACTTCAAATGTTAAATTAAATGCATGTATAGAGGTTCCAGACATGTTTTGTAGTGACAGGTACTCTATTTTGTATTCTGTGAAAGGGAAATCACAAATCGAGTGTCATCAAAATACATGTCATTTTGAGAGATTGAGCTCGTGAGAGAGAATTTTCTCTCTCAAATTTGAATGTTTTGGCTCTCTGGGGACTGGTAGTAAGCAGGTAAAACTGTATGGGGAAAAATCATTTTTATTTAATTGTAGCTTGTTTCACAATAATTTCCGGGAAAAACTAAACGACAAAGTCCTTGACTAATTTATTTAGGTGGTCGTTCACTTTTTTTTACCTGAATATGCACCGAAAGCGAACTATTTCCACTTCTCTCAACTTCTATATGGGGATTTTTATCACTTCCTACCAGAGGAACAGCACCATCTATGTGGAAAATAGTCGTACGATATGATTAATTTTGAGGTGTTCTTGGTATGCCAGGAATATCTGCTCTATAAGAAAGCTGATAACTATACATTTCGTAAAAACTAATAACTAATCTTTCTTTCCGTTTCCTCTTATTCCAGGCGAAAAACCCTACAAGTGCTCCTGGGAAGGATGCGAGTGGCGCTTTGCCCGCAGTGACGAGCTGACCCGTCACTACCGGAAGCACACCGGAGCGAAACCGTTCAAGTGCCGACACTGTGACCGATGTTTCTCCCGCTCGGACCATCTGGCCCTGCACATGAAACGTCATGCCTAAACAGCGCCAGCAACAAAAGTAGGAATAGGAAGAAGACCAGCAGGAAGTGAAGTACCCCCCCTGGCACCCGATTTAATGAGCTTGTATCATCCTAAGGCCAAAAACCAACCCACACCTAAACACACACACACTTACACAACAGACACACAATCACAAAACCAATAACAAAATTTACCAAACAACAACAACATCAACTGAAAAACTCAAGAAGCTAGTGTGTGTTGTGCAATCGTCGCCAACACGCTGAGATGATTCCGTATGAAAAGTATTTTCTCTAAACAAACTCACATTCAGACATTTACGAAACTTTAGAAGACTAGGATGAACCCCCTCCCTTTTAGACATTGTCATCATCACACACACACACAAACATCATCATCATCATCATCATTATCATCGTCGTCGGTATGATCCCGCTCATTCTCACAATCGTCCCCGAATAAACACATCATTATCTAGAAAAGTTTTCTCATTAGACTATTATACACCAGGACGTAAGTTTTTTAGAAACGCGAGTGAGAGATAGGAAGGCGCCCAGCAAACGTAAACTGATTTTACAACAGAGATGAAAAAAGAAGATTAAACCCAGATGCACATTTGTGTGAAGATTCCAAGCGTTTTCGGAAAACCAAAATTTGAATATTGGTATTATATAATGTGTAAGCGAGGATTGTTATATAAGCGATAATGTCTCTTTGTATTTTAATTAGTTTTAAGAATCACATCACCCCTTCGACGCGGTTCCAGAACCGACATGTTTTACCACATCAGCATTCAATGGAGCGTTTTCTTGTAGCTTAATTGGAGTGTAGTTTCCTTAAGTATGCCTTCGTTGTTGTAGTCAAAGAGATAGAACATTCTTTAAGTTAGAGCGTTAAGATTTCGTATCGAATGTGGCCATTTTAGATCGTAGGTTTTTGTTTTGTTTTCGTTTGTTTTATTTTTCGTGAGAAAAAAAAAGTTTATTTGCAACAAGTCGAGTCAAGAAAGAAAACACTATGTTCTCATATTCCCATCAGGTTAGCAAAGTAAACAAATGAGGAAAACTATTATCCAACAATATAAAGGAAAACATCACTGCCAAAAACACAAATACATTTCGATTAGGATAAGATCGAAGGGAAGTTTAACTTTGCTAAAACTGCAACATGATTCTATTAATTTCGCTTTCTGTTCAATTAATCTTTATAAAACGGAAAATTAAACATATCCTGTCCTTGAATTTTATAATTCTTAATGTTACCTTAGGAAAACTATATGTATAAACAATGCAGCGCCACTTCAATGTTTGAAGTTTTACCATTTCGTTCAATTTAATGCTGGTGGCTTCAGTACTTCCTAGAACAGAAGCATATTTAAGCTTGTTTTCCATCTTGAAACAAATAAATAAAATACCTAACATTGACATGCTCACAAAACCCACACATCCATGACTGTGCAACAGCAACAATACATTGACACAAACAATACACACACTAAAAACCAAAAGCGATTCTCATCGACCGCGGAGATCGACGAACAGAATAAGAAGAAGAAACATAACCTATCGTTTGCGTGATGCAATTTCTGTGATCTGCATACAGCATTTTTTGAGTGACCGACGGTGGTCAAATTTATACAGCAACAGCAACAACAACAAAAAATCACAAGACAAGTAGAGTAAAATGGCAATGACTAGCAATGAATTAATATGAATTGTATAGTAGGAATCAAAACAAAAGAGAATTACAAAACAAAAAGTGACACATACACACACACACATACCTAGTAGTTGTGAAACCCGTAGCTGCATTCACTCTAACTTGTAGGATTGTAGGAACGTGCATAATGAATTATAATGTTTCGTTCAATATGTCTTATCCATAAGATCAGTCTGTCACAATTGGTTTCGGTTACACATGTGCTTAGGAAAGAAGGCAATAGCTTCCAGTAGATGAATTAGTCTCACAATTCAAATGTCATAGGCAAATTTCTACACCAATATCGAATTGCTTTACGCACATGCCATGACATGAATACACCTACCCGTACGTAGTTTTGTTTGATAAATCAAAGGGTTGATTGACTATTGAATTGATTTGATGGTAGAAAAATCCACTTGGAATCTGGACGCACCAGCGAATTAAAAATATAATTAGCATGAAAAACATCAGAACCAGCCAACGATGTCCTGTATAATGATTTTTGAACACGTAAAAAGCTGGGATCATCTTGATTATTTTGAGTACGAGCCATGAGTACTTCGGCAGTAGTCATGCGTGATTAAATTCGAAATAATCATTTGTGAATGTATCTTTTCAGTTTTAAATTTTATTCTTTTGGAATATTAATATATCATCAAATAAGTTTGAAATTCAATAAAATATTATTAAAATAGAATATCAGATGATTATTTTTAGCAAGAGAAAATTATTTTTTAATCATTCGATATTCTTCAATTGAGTTTGATGTCAAATTGATTAAATTTGAAGCAAAATGCGCATAGGTACTGTAGCATGTTTATCAGGATCAGGATTCATGGCATCGCTGGTAACAGTAGTGCTGCAAAATATCAATACCAACACCTACAAAATTTTGACTAACATATTGACAGTATCACCTCACTTAGTTCTTATATCAATGTCACTCGCCTCAATGTCACTCGCGAAAATGACAATGCCATCGTACTGGAAACGTACTGATATTCAAAGCGCTGTAGCAAATATTTCTTATTTACGCCAGCTAGAAAACACATCGGAGCTATTGATACAATGAAATAGATATTAAAAATATACCTAAAATAGATTTTCAGCTGTCGCTAAGTAAATTTCATATGAATTCCTATCAGGTTGAAATTCCTCAAACTCACTGGGGCTTTTAAAACACTCTTGTCCTGCGAATTTAACCAGCCCTCACTTAGAGTGAGTGGCGGCAGGAATATGGAAGAAGTAAACAAAAACTCCTCGTGAGAGAGGCAGAGTGAGCTTCAGCGAGAGGATGATTTGACGTGAGGTGCGCTTTTCGAGACTCCGGATGACTTTTTTGTTCGACGCAAGAAGCTCAGAGTTCACCCAGAGTGAGAGTAAGAGCGTGTGATAGAAAACATGAACATGAATGGCAGCAAACCTCACTCTACTTTTATCGCCCTTCGCTCACAAGCTCTGAAGCTCAGTGGAATGATTTGGCAGTATGCATTCTACTCCTCAGAAAAATGCTACACTCGGCTCATTTCAAACTCGCAAGCGAGGCTCCATCAAGCCTGATTCCTATGTCAAAGCCGTACCGCTCAATAGGCCTTTTTGTTGCACCACCAGGCGAGTTCGAGAGGAAACGTCAACCAACCCGTTTGTTTACGTCACAATCAGGATTTTTCACAACACAAATTAAGCATTATTCATTGAACATCTTGCCAATTTTCACCAGTAACTGTCTTATTTTACGGTTACAGATCTGAACTGATTTTAGCACTGTCATTGACAGACTTTCACGCGATATTGACAAAATTGTTTTTCACATAGTCACTAATAGACTTGATCCTCAAAAAAACCTCAAAATTTCATTAATTTTATCGTCAATGACAAATATTCTCCTGGTAACAAAAAGTGTAATTTCGTGCATTCTGAGTCACATTATTATTATCCAAGCAGTTCAGCACGTAAATGCTTGTTCACTTTAACGGTTCCATGGAATTGTTTTGCATAATTCAATTCGTTACAAAGCTGCATAGCTAACATTAAAGAGCCTGAATTTATAAAGAGGCGACATCTTATCCATTTGACAGGTCTTCTGCTCGATTCAAATGACTTTTCCTATGACTTCGACAGACAATCGATTGTTCCAATTTTGACATGTCGGCTCTGTAAATTCAGGCTCTTTAACTTTTACCTCGAATGAGTGACCAAAGCAGAATTGACAATATCACCAATGTCCTTTATATCTAGGCAACAGGCTTATTGGTGTTAGTGAAATGTGCAAATGTTTAGTGGTGTTCGTATTTCATTGCATTGTTTATCTTTTTACACGAAACAGCTGTTGGCAGTGACGTAAATCTCACTGTTCGCAGAATGCAATGTGTCACGGCGTCACTTGAGAGCTCAGCAATGTTAACAATACATTTTGTTCTAACACCAGCAAGCTGCCTTTCTTCTTCTTCATTCCTTTATTTAACGTCGGTCTCTGTTCCGCAATCTAGTGCCAATCACCGACGGACATCGATTGCCATCCATTGACGGCAATCGAATGTGCAGGAAGGCAGCTTCCACACCTGCGTAGGATACCGCACCCATTCAACACACATGGGCTGGGACCAACGGCTTTACTTCCCTTCCGAAGGAAGACGTGACCAGATATTTTTATGCCTCAGAAAAATCCCACCGACCTCGGCTGGGATTGAACCCAGACCCCTTGGAGTGTGAGAAAGCAGTCACGCTTACCACTACACCACCGGCGCCGGCAGCAAGCTGCCTGTTGGCCCAAATCTTATATAAACGTCATTGAATATCACCGTGTATTGTCGAGATTTTACAGCACTGCTCACAAACTTTGTTTGACGTTCACCTATTCACCACCAGAGGTCGCTTCGTTTCTATAGGCCTTTTAAATAGAAACTAAACGACCGACTCAACCTCTGGTGGTGAATAGGAGAACGTCAAAAAGAGTATTGTGAGCATACATTTTTGCCTTGAGACATAGGAAGCGGAACACTTTTTGACTTTTCCTGATAAATTGATTCATCCGAGATGCTGCAAAACTTAATCTACAGTTGAAAAATTTAATTCTGTAACGTTTTTGAAAAGATCCTGCTGATGTTCAAGAATATTTTTGTTGAGAAAAATAGAAAATTAGAAAAGTGCCTTAGTGGTTATGATCTTCCGGATTTCTTGTGTGTGAATAGTTAAGGCGCAAATCAGTTCAGATTTGTGGAAAATCGTACAATACGACAATTACCGATGGAAATTGGCAAGATTTTGAATAAAAAATGCTGTTATTTGCGTTGGGGAAAATACTTATTCTGATGTAAACAAACGGTTTGGTTGACGTTTCTCCTCGAACTATCGTGGTGCACTCTACGTTGGTGGTACATTAAAAAGGCGTATTGAAAAGACGTATATCATGCATGCTACGAATATCAGTGTCGGACGGGAAATTCAGTTCTGGAGCTATGGGCCTTTTTAATGCACCACCAACGTAGAGTGCACCCCCGCGAGTTGTAGAGGAAACGTCAACCAAACCGTTTGTTTACATCAGAAAGCATTTTTCACAACGCAAATTAAAGCCTTTTTCATTCAACATCTTGCCAATTTCCATCGGTAATTGTCTTATTGTATGATTTTCCACTGATCTGAACTGACTTGTACTCAAACTATGTACAAACATGAAATCCGGAAGATCATAACCACTAAGGCCCTATTCTAATTTGCCATTTTTCTCAACAAAAATATTGTTGAACACCAGTAGGATCCTTGCAAAACCGATACAGCTTTAAATTTTTCAACGGTAGATCATGTTTTGGAGCATCTCTGATGTATCAATTTATCAGGAAAAGTGAAAAAGTGTTCCGCTTTATGTTTCATGGCAGAAATTTATGCTCACATGGTTTTTGACGTTCTCCTATTCATCACCAGAGGTTGAATCGATCGCTTAGTTCTATTTAAAAGGCGTATATCCTACGTCAATTGACATTGTTAACAGCACGCAGCACTTTTACACATGTTACAAAATGCAACAAAATAATGCCATTACTAGATAAACATTACAAAAGGTCCTATCTGCATTGCTCGAATCTCTTCATCGACTTTCTCTTTCATTAATAACCCAGTTGCTATCCACCTGTAGTATTTGACTTTTAGACGCTAGATAAGAACCTCCATTATCATACTATGTGGTAAAATTAGTGTGAAACTGTTTGTATAACAAAGGTCATCACAAGAGAAAGTCGATGAAGGGAATCGATCAAAGCTGGTAGGACCATTTGAAATGTTCATCAAGATTTGCATCATATTATGTCGCAGAGAGTGTTGGTCACGACCTAGGCGAGTAAGAGAGGTGACACAGTCGGAAGAAGTTTAGTTTGTTTACTAAAATGAACCGCCCATTTTGTTATGGCAAGTTTTGCTATAAGAAATGCTCCTCGTGTTTATTAGCGAAATTCACATCAAAGATTGATTAATTGCGTAGGAAATCAGTTTGGCACGGCATTTGTGACCAGCATACACCTTCCGGTCGTATGAAACAGGTCAAAAACTGTCCAAGTCCGCAGATAAAAAATTTTGTTTTGAATTTCTGTATGGCAAAATAGTGAACTTTTCATGAACATTAACGGCAAAGAACTCACCAACACTGGAAGACCGTGAGTTCCTGCCCACCTGTCATTTCCCATCTTGGGTCACGACATTCGTCGCATGCAACATAGACGAGTGAACGGATGGATTTGAGTTCACTCACTCGACAAAAAGTGACACAACAGCGGGGCTCTGTTTACTAAAAATGAACACATGAATAATGCTCGCAGAACATTTGAAAAGAGATTATCAATTTTTGTAAACAACTTGTTAGGTGCTTTTCACGAGAACCGAAGCATGCTCACGTAAACCAAGAGCACTATCGGGAAGGGGCGTATTCGGTTCGCGCGAAAAGGGCTTACAAGTTTTGTGTACACAAGTTGATAGACCCATTTCAAATGTTACGCGAGTATTATTATTATTATTTAGCTTTATTTAGGAGGCTTTCAGCCTTAGGCTGGTTCGCCTCCAATAGAGTATTATTCATATGTTCATTTTTCGCTGTTGTGTCACTTTTTGTCGAGCGAGTGAACTCAAATCCATCCGTGCACTCGTCTATTGTCTATGCAGCAGCTCGCTCTCCGGTTTAGAAGCGTTTACGTTGCGTTGACGTAAATTTTACAGTTAGACAATACATTTAGAAGTCACTTTGCCACAACAAGTCAGATCCGGATCTAATGTTGGTGGCCTAATTGGCTTGACGTTGAATTAAAAATTAATGGTTTTGTAATGAACTTTTATTGAAAAATACCGAATAGCGGAAATAGCAAAGTCTTCGTAGCCAGAGCTGTACACACTTAATATAGCTCGTTAAAATCTCCAACAGCCGATTACCTCGGCATTTACTTTTGCTGATATATCTGCAAAATATCTGTTTGTTAGCTGATATCTCAGCCAAATGATATTAGTTAGCTGAGTCTCGGCAATTGTTTTACAGAATGTCAGCAAAATAAATTGCAGAACTACTCGGCTGTTGGAACCTCGGCGAAAAATTTTAAGTGTGTACATTTTTGAAGTTTTAAAATGAATGCCAAAAATAGACGAGTGCACGGATGTATTTGAGTTCACTCACTCGACAAAAAGTGATACAACAGCGGGGCCCTGTTTACTAAAAATGAACACGTAACATTTGAAACGAGCCTATCAACTTTTGTACAAAAAACTTGTTAAGTCCTCTTCGCGTGAACCGAATACGCCCAGGCAAACTAACAACACCAAGGACCTAGCAAGTTTTTTACAAAAGTTGATAGGCCGTTTTCAAATGCTACGCGAGCATTATCCATGTGTTCATTTTTAGTAAACAGGGCCCCGCTGTTGTGTCAATTTTTTTTCAGTACATGAACAAAAGTTCACCCGTGCACTCGTCTATAACGCCTAGCCAACCTATCAGCAAGAAACGAAAATGAAAAAGAAGCACACTTAAGGCCGGCTCACATTAGTTACGTTTTCGGGTTTTTTGACAGATAATGCTAACTGTCAAAAAACCTGAAAACGTATCTATTGTGCGCTGGCCTTTAGAATGAAAGGCTGGCTATGGATTTTTTAGTCTTTCCTTTGCTCACCTCTTGCAATGAAAGTAACGTCGATTTTTGAGTTGAAACGAAGCCTCAATTTGGTTTAAAATTTCTTTCACAGACAGTCTGTCACCGTTTTTGCAATTTATTTAATATGCGTTTTCATCACTACCTAAAGCCCATTTTTGCCTGTGGACTTGGAGACATACTTCAAGTCCCCGCGTACATCGTACGGGTTAGGCAAAAATGTGCGTCTATCTTGAAAAACTGTCGCATTAATGGCCCTTCGCTCATTTTCAACTTCTATTCAATTTTCATACTGCCGTACTCTAACGGAACTATCCACCTACCCTCTTCTAAAGATCATTCTCTAGCTAATAAATCATCACACTAAAGCTTCATGTTAGCATTTCCAACCAACTGTGTAAACCATGCCATTCAACTGACTTGATCAACTCACTTGAATTGAAAAAAGGTTGAACCAGGCTCAACTTTTCAAGCCAATTGAATTCAACTCAGTTGATCATTTGACTTGCCTAGTCTAAACCCAGCATTAGTCTTTCGTATCACTGAGGCTTGAAGAAAATGAAAAATGAAACATGAAGCGACGGAAGAAAGAGAGACAAACGATTAAAAATATGTTTGTAAATGCCGACGGAGGTGCTAGAATGATGCGAGGCTGCTCTACTTCAACAGAAAAAGAAAGCTAGCTGAAGGGATGCCACATATACAAATGTAATCATACAGATTGTTTCAATATTTTGATACAGATATCTGTATACACAGATTACAGATTTTTAGAAAGTATACAGATTTTTCAAACAAGTGGAATATATTATATATTATTTTTCATATATATATTTGTTCCGATAAATAATATTTTCTTCCTTCAAATTTTATTTTTTAATAAATAAAATATGAT